CTCCCGCCGAGGGTTCGGATCCCACATACAGACCAGTTCCTGCTCACTGGCTGAGCGAGGTGCAGGCGCGACACCGAGGGTTGCGATCCCGTTGCCGGTCCCGGTCCGGTACGGGCGCGACACTGAGGGTTGCGATCCGTTGCCAGACACGAAAAAAGACAAAAAAGAAAAAAAAAAAGAAAAAGAAAATCTTTCTAGAAGATAGATACCTAGTTGGTGTTAGCTTCTTCACCAGGCTGTTCTTAGGACCGGGTGAGGGAGTATATTTGGATCACAGTGTTAGCCCACAACCAGCAGGGAAATCCTGAATTAAATTTCTTTCAGTTCACTCAGCTCTCCCAGTGACCGGACCCACTTAAAATTCCTTTATAATGATAATTTTGGGGGCTGGGGAAATACCTTTTTAAAAGCATAACCAGTTCTAATACTTTAAAATTTTCGGGTTTTTTTCTGACTATAAATATATAGTGCAGCTTAGTTTGTTATATGTCACATATATTAATAAAGCTATATAAAAAGTACATATACACTTGTTTAAAACAATAAGCATTTATTTAAAAAGAAAAAGTATACACTTGTTTTTAAAAATAAACTTAATAAAAAAGAATGAAGTGGAAAGGAAAAGTCTTACAGTAGAAGTGGGTATTTGGGGTGGAGTAAAGACGGGATATATATTTTACTTGGCAATAAAAAGAGTGGTTTTGCATTTTTATAAGTTTTTTTGTTGTTGTTTTTACCAAACTACTCCAATCTGCACAGTTACAGATAACCTAAACAGTGGCTTTATCTGTTCATAGGGCTTTAAACTTAGAAGAAACTGTGCAAAAAGAAAGTAAATGCTGATTGACCTTGCTGAAATGCACAGTACTGTAATTATTTTAGTTGAAATTTCTTTAGGTTAAATTATTCAATAATTTCTCTTTCTCTCAGAGGGCCTCATTTTATATTCATGAAAGCAACTTACCAGTTATTACCAATTAAAGAAAAAAAATGCACAGTACTGTAATTATTTTAGTTGAAATTTCTTTAGGTTAAATTATTCAATAATTTATCTTTCTCTCAGAGGGCCTCATTTTATATTCATGAAAGCAACTTACCAGTTATTACCAATTAAAGAAAAAGTATTCATGTTCTAGTGCTTTTTTTAGGGGATGGGAGGAGGGTAGTTCTATATATATTTTCCAGGACATTATTTAATCTTTTTCTTTAGGTCTCTGTGTATCATAGTGCCATTCTGAGGAAGTAATTGAGTACAGACAAAACATCTCTGCAGTGGCCAGCATGATTCACTTTGAAATCAATACATGAGTTATATTTGGCATCAAGACAAGTTGCTTGTTCGCTCTGTAAAATTGTGTTATTGCTCTTAGCTGACAGGGAGAAGAAATTAGATATTTTGAGAGATGGCTTAATCTAAATGCTCTTTTCTAACTTTGTATGGGTTATTACAAATTATATCAATCACTGAAGGCACCAAAAGTGGGAAAGGAGCCGGGGGAGGGCTAGGGAGAAATCAGTAAAGGGCCACAAAAAAATGTTTAAGTTGTGTATGATAAAATAATAATTTTGGAGGGAGGGAAAAAGCCAAAAGATTGAATGTAAGCTCACTAAAAGTAAATGCATAGCCTCTGTGGGTTGCAGTAGTCAACTGTATACAGGTAATTATTTCAGTACACTTCTGACTGCTTTTCTTTTACCAGTGGAGAAATTAAGAAGAAAGTTTATACAGTTCATTAAAGTTCTCAAAACAAGTTAAAAAAAAAAAACAAAAAATAAATATCAATCACATATATTACTTGAAAAGCAGTGAACTTTTACTCTTCTAGCGCTGGCAGATTCTGTCTTAATGTGTGACAAATACATGTTGTTGTTTTTATATCATTGCTGGAGGACATAATATCTACAGTTTCCCAGATAACTTGTAGCTAGTATTGTACTACCGCTCTCT